CCGTACAACGTAAACTACAAAGTACCCTACAACGTAAACTACAAAGTACCCTACAACATAAACTACAACGTAAACTACAAAGTACCCTACAATGTAAACTACAAAGTACCCTACAATGTAAACTACAACGTAAACATACAAAGCTTCAACAAGTCTGTGGACATTAAAACTGAAGTCTACGACTCCCATGGTGCATTTCACCTACACACATCCAATCACAGAGCTTCACATTAACTGTGGAGCGAACTGATGAAACTGGCTGATTCTGGCTTCGTCTCCATGGCAACTGAAGCTGAGGCTCATGGGTATTGTAGTATTTAGAGACAGAGATAACAAACTGATTATCCAAGTGGTGATGAGAACCGTTCTGTATCCACCTGATCCAGGATCAGTGCGGCAGTGGTGTCGCAGTTCTCTCTCTGACTGCTCCTCCCTCCTTCCCTCCTCCCTTCCTCCTCCCTTCCTCCACCCTCCTCTGCTTCCCTCCTCCTCCTTCTCTGCTTCCCTCCAGCCCTCATCGTCTCTGAGCTCCAGGAGGATGGAGGGGCTGCAGCGGCTCAGCCTACCCGGAGCGTGAGGAGCCTTCCTGGGCTTCAGTCTGCCTCCTAACCCCCCCCCCCCCTCTGTGTGGAGCTCTGATCCTCCATCTGTCTGTCTGTCTGCAGCGTCTGTCTGTCCTCCGTCAGCTGAAAACATGGACGGACTCCGGCTGCCGCCCGTCATCGAGGAGGTCCTCGATCCATCCGGTCAGTGTTTGTTTACATGCGTCATAACGAGGGTTTGATGATGTCATTAGAGTTTAAGAGTTAATTATACGATTAGAGGAGTAAGTGAAATATGATCTGCTGCTTCAGTCTGTTTGAACTAATAATGGAGAGTTCATCTCAACTATAACGTCTCAGATTCATCATTAATAATTCAGTCAGTGCAACAACATCAGAATCCCTGATTCATCCTCAACACTTTTCACAATAAAAGCCTTTTAGGGAGCAGTAGGTATATCTGCTCAGCTCTTCAGTTGACCTGAAAGATAAAAGGAAATAAAATACTTATGGTAGAAATATATGATATAAAATAAATATAGTTTGTAAAGTTGATGATTCAGTTTCAGTAATAACGTTTTCATTCTGAAGACTCATTTAAAGTTTTAGACTTTTGTAAAATATAACAATTCCTAAGTTATGACATCGACCTGTTTGGAGGATGATGATGATGATGAAGCTTCTCTCTCTGTTTGATGAAGACGAGCTGTGTGAGATGAAGGTGCAGAAGAAACCCATCATGTTGGCAGAAACTCTGACGGCCAAAGAGAGGGAGTCCCTGGAGGAGAAGGAGGAGACGCAGGAGGAAGGAGGAGAAGAGAGGGATGAAGAGGAGGAGCTGGAGGAGCTGAGAGCTCAGGTGTTCCAGCTGCTGATGGAGCTGGAGGAGACCAGAGAGGTTTCTCAGAGACATGAGGAGGGATTCCTGGAGCTGCAGGGTGCGGAACTCGGAGATTACATCATCACACTGCTCCTCCTCTTCCTCCTCCTCCTCATCTGTTTCCTCCTCTCTCTCCTCAGGTCTGTTGGAGGACGAGCGACTGGCGAGCGCTCACCAGGCCGAGAGCTTCACCAGACAGATCCAGAGACTACAAGGTTCAAGTTGACATCATCAGAACGTCTTCACTTCTTCTCTTGACTTCATTCAAACCAACAGAAACCTGAGGAACCACACATCTTTCACATAATTTTAACTCCTCTCTTCCTCCTCCTCCTCTTTCTCCTCCTCCTCCTCCTCTTCCACCACCTCCTCCTCCTCCTCCTCCAGCTCAGCTCCGGTCGGTCCAGGAGGAGCTGGACAGCCTGGAGGAGGAGAAGGAGAACGTGCTGGAGGAGGTGCACGAGGAGCTCCGCTCTGCTCAGGAGGAGGTGCTGATGCTGCAGCAGGGGGCCGAGGAGGCGGCGGCGGAGAGAGAGAACGACATCGCCTCCCTGCAGGAGGAGCTGTGTCGCCTGAAGGTGGAGCTACAACGACTCCACGCCACGACGCAGGAGTACGAGCTGGAGATCACAACGCTGAGAGCTGAGATCAGCATGAAGAGCCACGACACAGGTGAGTCAGAGAGGCACAGGTGAGTCAGAGAGGCACAGGTGAGTCAGAGACACGCAGGTGAGTCAGAGAGGCACAGGTGAGTCAGAGACACGCAGGTGAGTCAGAGACACGCAGGTGAGTCAGAGAGACGCAGGTGAGTCAGAGAGACAGGTGAGTCAGAGACACGCAGGTGAGTCAGAGACACGCAGGTGAGTCAGAGACACGCAGGTGAGTCAGAGAGACACAGGTGAGTCAGAGAGACAGGTGAGTCAGAGAGACAGGTGAGTCAGAGACACGCAGGTGAGTCAGAGAGACACAGGTGAGTCAGAGAGACAGGTGAGTCAGAGACACACAGGTGAGTCAGGTGATCATCTGATATAAATGTGTGTGTTCAGGCGACAGGACTCAGCTGAAGGACGAGTTCTTCTCTCTGACTGATGAACGTCAGTTTCTAAACGACGACAACAAAGTTCTGAACAACAAAGTGGAGCAACTTCAGCAGCAACAAGACACGTGAGTGGTCGAACCAGCTGTCAATCAACCTGCTGCTCTGACATCATTACATCACTATGTGTGTGTGTGTGTTGTTTTGTCACCATCGCCTTCATAAAACATTCCTTTAAATCTAAATATGTTAAATGAGTGAACACAAACATCCACACATTCCTCTGACCCCCGACCTCTGGACAGGTGTGACGATGCGTACCTGGCCGTCACTAACACTGAGCCGGATCAGGTGAAGGCGGACTCTTACATCAGCCTGTCTCAGTCCGGTCCCCAACACCAGGACCCGGAGGACCCGGAGGATCCGGACTCCTCAACGGTCCTGAAGGTCCAACTGAGACGAGCAGAAGAGACGTCTCTCAAAGTCCAGACGGAGGTGAGTCATCACCAGACTCCATTCAACAAATGAGGGTTTTAATCTGAAGCTGTAAATTACATCAAATATCATCAGTGTATACTGTGTGTATATATATATATACATGTATACATGTATATATATTAGTGCTGGGCAACGATTAAAATATTTAATCGCGATTAATCGCATTGTTATGCGCAAATTTCAATAATTAATTCAAAAGTAGTGTATTGCGCACTTTTATTTTAAAGTACTGCTATATGAACAACAGGTCAATAACATTTGGTTTGTAAACACTTTAAACAAATAAGGTTATTTTTAACAGCAGTATTCCCTTTACACAGTAGCAGTTATACAGTTACAATGATTCTGATCATAGATATTCAGCCGGTGTTCATAACTTTATCTTCATGTGTGTAAGAGATGATATTTAAATATACACCTTGAAAACTGCAAACATATCTACTCCTTTTTTTTGTGTTTGTTAAATTCTCAGTAGTGATTACTAAATGATGCTTATTATACATATTACAAACAAAACACTTTAAAAACTTGACAATATGTATTTTAATATTGTCACTGTTGTAAATTGTTTGATTGCATGATTTACTTTTATTGTGAAGAGCATGAAAACGGAAGTGCTTTTACTTTGAAGAGACAGGAAGTAGAATGGTACGTGTTCTTGACACTAACAATGTTGATGAAACGTAGAAAACCACATGTCAGGTGCAAGAGCGCGTTGTTTTCACTGTAACACTGTAATACTGCAGTTCAGACAGTAAAGTGTTCCGTTCAAATAATATAATAATAATAATCGCTTAATAATAAAAATAAACAAAACTGCGTTAACGCGCGATAATATAATTGTCGGCGTTAATTAATTAATGTGTTAACGCGATAATAACGCGTTAACTTGCCCAGCACTAATATATATATATATATATATATATATATATATGTGGATCAAATGTATTTTCTGGTAATTTAATTGAGAAAAATAAACTTATTAGTGCCCTCTGGAGGACAAACCATGAAACTACAACACTGTTTCTAAATGGCTGCAAACACGTCTCTTATTTATCTATCTGCAATGAACTACTACTAGTATACTACTACTGGCTGTATACTAGTACATATAGTATACTAGTATACTATATTGTGTGGGTTTTCTCCAAAGACATACAGGGTAGGTTCATTGTCAGCTGGGGTCACAAACGGTCAGAGATGGTTCCAGGCGATGGATGATTTTAATCTCCTTTACCTCCCTGTCTTCCCGTCTGTCTTCCCGTCTGTCTTCCTGTCAGTGCGACGGTTTGAAGGGTGACCTCGTCGACCTGCAGCAGCTGTACGACAGCAGCCAGCGGGAGCAAGTGTTGCTGGAACAGGAGCTGCAGCACTGCAAGTCCGAGCTGCAGAAAATGGTGGGCAGGAAGTCACAGGTGAGTCGTTTACTTGACTTTATACAAACCATCTTTTCTGATGCCTCGAAATGTGTTTCATCCTCTAAAACGTTCTTGGTGAAGTCGTTTCTTTAGAGCGCCGGTTATCAGGTACAAATACTGTTTGGTTTTAAACTTTTAAAGACAAGAAATGTGAATATGGTGCAACATTTCTTGAATGGTTAAGATACATACACAGTAAATAAATGAGCACATCAACGCTTGAAGAGAGATCTATAAAATACACAATACACAGAATGTATTAGAATACACAATACCATACCAATACCATAGTATAACATATATACATGTGTAGAATGTTTAAAAAACTCAAGATAAGTACGACGCAGTATCTCATTGGACACCCTAAGACCTGTTTGACTTTATTAGTCTGTTCACTTGGTCGATAACAGCTGAAACTCATCAGTCATTCTGCTACAGCTCTGCTGGTGTTGCTGGTTTTTCTGTGAGCTTCTTCTTGACATCTGTTGCTGCTGGGCAGTTTGTTTTCGTCATCTGGCTGTTTCTACTTCCGCTCAACTTGCTGCTTCCTCCGTACAGCCCTCAGGATCTCAGAGGTTTACTCACTTGTCAACTGATCAGAAAACAGTGAAGCGCATTGACAGTGGAGGTCCGTCTGATAACACATCATGTGTGGAACATCTCATTACAGACAGTTCAATCCAAACAGAGACATTTGGATTCTGTTTGCCTGACCTCACTTCCAGAGGTGTGGACCAGTTTCCCAAATCTGACAAAATCTAGTCTGAAACTTGACCTGCATCAATCCATAAGGGGGCGCCAACCATCCGTAGGGGGGCCATAGGGGGGCGCCAACCATCCATAGGGGGGCCGACTATCCATAGGGGAGCGGCAACCATCCGTAGGGGGGCCATAGGGGCCTCGCAAGCGCAAGTGAGGGCGGGCAAAAAGAGAAGAGGGGGGGCAACCATCCGGAGGGGGGGGCGGCA